GGGACAGGTGTGAATGAATAAGTTTAACAATGTTGGCTCTTTCAGAATTTGACAAATGGGTCAAGTGCACCTCAAGACTGCGCAGAAATTCAGAATTCTGCAGCCTGCCCTCCATCACACTCTTGGGAGGAACAAGCACATCCCTCTCTATGGGCCGCTATAGAACGCTTGTTAAACTAAAAGCAAACAACCATTGTTGATTTGTTCTGGTGAGAAAGCTCAGCTTACTTACTGGCCATTTTTTAACTCCCTCCCCCCACCCCCCCAACCCATTTTACTTGCAACTACCCCATAAACCTCCCCCCCATCTTTGTAAACTACAGACTTCATTAAGACTCACTAGAACCATGACTGATTGTGGTTGTAAACAGAGGAATTGTGAGACTAAAGAATGGGCGATGGCCGCACCATTATCCTACAGACTACATCCTCCTGTTTGGGGAGAGCAGAAGTAACACATGAAAGTGCCCCACCCTTCACCTCACCCTCTTCCTTGGGGTTAACGTGACACAACAGACAACTTTTCTTCCGGTCAGGAGTGGCTGTAAGGTAGTCACGATCACCCACTCATCCAACTATGGGCCGCTATAGAACGCTTGTTAAACTTCTTCTGCATGGTTTTTTGATGCCATGTGGCTCCGTTGCTCTCTGCTCTTGGGTACACGCTTCCCTGTTTTTGTTGCAGCCAACAGCACATGTACAGTGGCACATTGGCCGGTTAGCTCAGCTGGTTAGAGCGTGGTGCTAATAACGCCAAGGTCGCGGGTTCGACCCCCGTACGGGCCACAGCTTTTTGGTGGTAGTATGTTACATTTTGTAACGTAAAAAAAGCCTTTCCCTATCAGGGAATCAAATCCCAGTCTCCTGCGTGATTCACAGGGATACTCATCACTATAGGAATGAGGATGAGCACCAAAGGAGGTTAGCTAAAGTTAGAATACTGCCCGCACGAGTACGCCGTCCGATTGTTCACGTACGAGAGAACACGTACTTCCAGATCTTACGGCACATGCCGAAATAGCTCAGTTGGGAGCGCGTTAGACTGAAGATCTAAAGGTCCCTGGTTCAATCCTGGGTTTTGGCAGTGGTGTGGTTGCAGAGCAGATGCTGATGTTTTGATGGAAGTCAAATGCCCACTCACCTTGCAACAGCACTTTGCCATCAACCCTGGGGGGAGTAGCTCTTGACAACAGAACACAGCATTTGCAACAAGTGGGCAGTCAGTTAGCAATACTGCAGGGGCACTCCACCCATCCAGCCAGCCCAAAGATGCCCCCCTTCTCCCCCCATAGCCACAAATGGCTGCACTTCAAAACATATGTTTGAAATGCATCTCCACAGTCACATATAATTAGGGTTACATGAAAAATGACCCCTTTCAGAAGTGGAGTGAAAGGTCAGCAGTAAGACACTTGACACTGAGGTGAGAGGACTTTTGTGTTTTTCATGTCAAAATGTTATTATCCATCTCTTTGGTGTTTCTCTTCAAGGCTTTTACACAATGGGTTTATCATTAAACAATTATTACCATTAAAAAGGATGAAGGGAGAGCTATAGTTTAGATTGGTTTTTTCTTATCTATGCTACAATGTATGGTGATTAGCTTTAGCGCTAGCAAAAAATCCCAGTTGGGGTGCTTTTCACATTTTCTTCGGGGTTGGTTGTTACATGTGTTGACATATACATACATAGTGTGATATATCAAGTCTTTTACTTCTTTTTATATAGAAAAATGGGCAGGAACTGTGACTCAATGTGACAGTGACTGAGTGCAAAGTCAAATGATATGAAAAATTCTGTGACCAAGGATGAGTTGAGTATTATTGTTCTTTGTATTGTAACCCAACTCAACATGCACTTGAATGAATTATCTTGATGGTTGGTCACAATGGGTATGAGTGATCATTACGATGCACTTAGTCCTGAGAACGCCTTGGAAAACTGACCCAAGTTTAGAGCACTTACGAAATCAGTACTAAACCAAAGAAAAAACTGACATACGAAAACGATGGTTGGGGTTATATCATACGCAAGTCCCAAACACATGTAAATCAGCCAGGATGCTTCTCATTGAGTGCCATAGATAAGAAAAGAACACTTGAGCTAAAACAACACTGGCTAATACCCCCATGCAGGGTCTCGTGTGGTGCTGGGACCGAGTGGGCCACCCTGCTGGTGGAGTGTGGGAAAAAATAGACCTCGGTAAGGGCCTTCTGGAGAATATGGGCATTGATCGAGCTACCTCTCACATGCTAAGCAAGCGCTCTACCATTTGAGCTGCTTCCCCACTGCACGGCTGGTCCTCAGTCCGTGCCTTGGATCTCTGAACGACATTCTAAGAAGCGGCAGGATGGGAGAGCATGTTTTGGGTATTGGCGCCTCCTATGGCTATCACCCTGTAGGTTCCATGGTGTAACGGTTAGCACTCTGAACTCTGTATCCAGTGATCCGAGTTCAAATCTTGACGGGACCTTTGCTCTTCTACTGCCTGGTTTTTTGACGCCATGTGGCTCCGTTGCTCTCTCTGCTTGGGTACATGTTTCCCTGTTTATGGTGCAGCTGACTGTACATTTGAGGCTGTGGTCTGGCCGGTTAGCTCAGTTGGTTAGAGCGTGGTGCTAATAACGCCAAGGTCGCGGGTTCAATCCCCGTACGGGCCAATTCTTTTTAGTGGTAGCACGTTACATCTTGTAACGTAAAAAAAGGGCAAGCCTCTCCCCGTCGGGGAATCCAACCCCAATCTCCTGCGTGATAGGCTGATGTCGGTTAAAGTTCCTTGAAAAATAGCACATGGGGTGGTCAATACTATGAGCATCTTTCTGGAGGAGGACGGCTCCAGCATAACAATCACTTGCATCTACAGCAAGCTTAAATGGGCGCGCAAGGTTGGGTGCTGAGAGAACAGGTGCGCTGACCAGCAGGGCCTTCACATTCTCAAATGACCGTAGGCATTTCTCAGTCCAACTAAAACAGTTTTGGTGCTGGAGATCTGTCAATGGTGAGGCAACTGCAGAGAATTTTTTGCAAAAATTGAGGTTGTAACGTACCATGCCCAGGAATCTCCAAAACTTGCGATGGGTTTTGGGGATGGGAAATTTAGTTACGGCCTTGTCCCTGGCCAACAACCTTACCCAGATATGCAACGGTTGCTTGGCCAAACTCGCACTTTGCCAGATTTACAGTTAAATTGGCAGCAGACAGGTGGTCGAAAAGAGTTTCCTTCTGTCTTCCATGCTCGGACCAATTCGCACTGTAAATTACCAGGTCATCTAAATATGCCTTGCAACCTGGCAGGTCAACAAGGTTAACCAATCTCTGGAAGGTGGCAGGGGCATTTCTCATCCCGAAAGGCATGACTGTGCACTGTAGGAATTATCTGGCATAACAAAAATGGAAATCTCCTTTGCACGCTTAGACAGGGGAACTTGCCAATATCCCTTGAACAAATCCAATTTGCAAATATAGACAGCAGACCCCACAAGATCCACACAGTCATCCATTCTCGGGACAGGAAAACAGTCAGGCTTTGTGACTGCGTTAACCTTCCAGTAATCTGTACAACAACAGAATGTGCCGGCATACTTGTTCACTATCAGGCAAGGTGTGTTCCAATTGATTGAATTGGGCTCAGCGATGCCATTCTTTAGCATGTAATCCAACTCTCTCTTTATCTGTGATTGTTTCTCTGGGTTCATAAGGGTGTTGCTTGATTTGGGGAGAAATCACCCACATCAATGTCATGCTCTATCAGGTGAGTATGGGTAGACACATCAGAAAACAGGGACAGGTGCGAATGAATAAGTTTAACAATGTTGGCTCTTTCAGAATTTGACAAATGGGTCAAGTGCACCTCAAGACTGCGCAGAAATTCAGAATTCTGCAGCCTGCCCTCCGTCACGCTCTTGGGAGGAACAAGCACATCCCTCTCCTCCACATGAAAGTGCCCCACCTTTCACCTCACCCTCTTCCTTGGGGTTAACGTGACACAACAGACTCCTTTTCTTCCGGTCAGGAGTGGCTGTAAGGTAGTCACAATCACCCACCTGACACTCATCCTATTAAGGGCCACTATAGAACGCTTGTTAAACTTCTTCTGCGTGGTTTTTTGACGCCATGTGGCTCTGTTGCTCTCTGCTCTTGGGTACACGCTTCCCTGTTTTTGTTGCAGACAACTGCACTCATACGGCAGCACAGTGGCCGGTTAGCTCAGCTGGTTAGAGCGTGGTGCTAATAACGCCAAGGTCGCGGGTTCGACCCCCGTACGGGCCACAGCTTTTTGGTGGTAGTATGTTACGTTTTGTAACTTAAAAAAAAGCCTCTCCCTATCAGGGAATCAAATCCCAGTCTCCTGTGTGATACACAGGGATACTTATCACTATACGAATGAGGATGAGCACCAAAGGAGGTTTGCTAAAGTTAGAATACTGCCCGCGCGAGTATTCCGTCCGATCGTTCGCGTACGAGGCAACACCTACCTAAGAGCCTTGCAGAATTTGCCGAAATAGCTCAGCTGGGAGAGCGTTAGACTGAAGATCTAAAGGTCCCTGGTTCGATCCTGGGTTTTGGCAGTGGTGTGGTTGCAAAGCAGATGCTGATGTTTTGATGGAAGTCAAATGCCCACTCACCTTGCAACAGCACTTTGCCATCAACCCTGGGGGGAGTAGCTCTTGACAACAGAACACAGCATTTGCAACAAGTGGGCAGTCAGTTAGCAATACTGCAGGGGCACCCCACCCATCCAGCCAGCCCAAAGATGCCCCCCTTCTCCCCCCATAGCCACAAATGGCTGCACTTCAAAACATACGTTTGAAACGCATCTCCACAGTCACATATAATTAGGGTTACATGAAAAATGACCCCTTTCAGAAGTGGAGTGAAAGGTCAGCACGGTTATTAGCGTGGTGCTAATAACGCCAAGGTCGCGGGTTCGATCCCCGTACGGGCCAATTCCTTTTGGTGGTAGCACGTTATGTTTTGTAATGTAAAAACAGGGCAAGCCTCTTCCCGTCGGGGAATCCAACCCCAATCACCTGCGTGATAGGCAGGGATACTCACCACTATAGAAACGAGGATGAGGTCCTTGTAAAACTTGTTAAAGGTAGAATACTGCCCACACGAGTACTCCGTCTGATCATATGCATACGAGTTAGCATGTAGCTCCAGGCTGGGCAGCACAGTTGGGAGAGAGTTATACTGAAGCTCTGCAGGTCCCTGGTTCGAGCCTGGGTTTCAGCAGCAATGTAATTACACAGCAGATGCTGATGTTTTGATGGCAGTCAAATGCCCACTAACCTTGCAACAGCACTTTGCCATCAACCCCTGGAGGAGTAGCTCTTGACAACAGAACACATCATTTGCAAGAATCGGGCAGTCAGTTAGCAATACTGCAGGAGCACTTCACCCATCCAGCCAGCCCAAGGATGCCCCCCATAACCACACCCACAAAAGGCTGCACTTCAAAACATATCTTTGAAACGCATCTCCACAGTCACAAATAACTAGGGTTACATGAAAAATGACCATCGTCAAATTCCAAGGGATTTTTTTTGTCATTGTATTTGTTCCCAAGAAAAGACATTGCGAAAAACTTGCAAATTCTCTCATAGTTGGTGGAGCAGCAAGATGAGAAAATCAGTTTCTCTTCCCATGCAGTCTTGGAGAGTGGAATATGGAGTGCTTGCTCAATTTGCCCCAACACTGGTGGCACATTTTACCTCCGTTTCATAAAAGTTCTTGATGCACTTATGCTAACTCACTTCTGTGCTACGTTTATGACCTCAATTTGTATCTAACAAAGTGAGGAACAGTGAGTATGCAATGATGTCCCAAACATTTATTTCTATTAAGATACAAGATTAATTGCATGTTCATCATGGTGAATTCACTTTGCATGACAAAAATCATGTTTTTGGTCCTGGCTTCCTTACCACCCTTTCCACATGCTCATCTCCATCACAGCCTGGGTGGAATGACATTCGTACGTCAGAGGCATCAGTAACATCATTATCACGAACATGGATGTGCTGAATGTCTGCATCATAACCCTGTAAAAACAAGCTCCGTCGCATGAGACGCTGATCATTGTTACGTATGCGATTAAGAAAAACAAGTGGATTATGATCTTGCAGCACCACAATGGGGCGAAAAGAGGGACTTACATACACATCAAAGTGCTGTAACGTGAGAACTAGAGGTAAAGCTTCCACACAGGATCCACACAGTCATCCATTCTCGGGACAGGAAAACAGTCAGGCTTTGTGACTGCGTTAACCTTCCAGTAATCTTTACAAAAACGGAACGTGCCAGCATACTTGTTCACTAGCAGGCAAGGTGTGTTCCAATTGATTGAATTGGGCTCAGCGATGCCATTCTTTAGCATGTAATCCAACTCCCTCTTTATCTGTGAATGTTTCTCTGGGTTCATAAGGGTGTTGCTTGATTTGGGGAGAAATCACCCACATCAATGTCATGCTCTATCAGGTGAGTATGGGTAGGCACATCAGAAAACAGGGACAGGTGTGAATGAATAAGTTTAACAATGTTGGCTCTTTCAGAATTTGACAAATGGGTCAAGTGCACCTCAAGACTGCGCAGAAATTCAGAATTCTGCAGCCTGCCCTCCATCACACTCTTGGGGGGAACAAGCACATCCCTCTCCTCCTGTTTGGGGAGAGCAGAAGTAACGCATGAAAGTGCCCCACCCTTCACCTCACCCTCTTCCTTGGGGTTAACGTGACACAACAGACTCCTTTTCTTCCGGTCAGGAGTGGCTGTAAGGTAGTCACGATCACCCACCTGACACTCATCCAATTATGGGCCGCTATAGAACGCTTGTTAAACTTCTTCTGCATGGTTTTTTGACGCCATGTGGCTCCGTTGCTCTCTGCTCTTGGGTACACGCTTCCCTGTTTTTGTTGCAGCCAACTGCACTCATATGGCAGCACATTGGCCGGTTAGCTCAGCTGGTTAGAGCGTGGTGCTAATAACGCCAAGGTCGGGGGTTCGACCCCCGTACGGGCCACAGCTTTTTGGTGGTAGTATGTTACGTTTTGTAACATAAAAAAAAGCCTCTCCCTATCAGGGAATCAAATCCCAGTCTCCTGTGTGATACACAGGGATACTCATCACTATACAAATGAGGATGAGCACCAAAGGAGGTTTGCTAAAGTTACAATACTGCCCGCACGAGTACTCCGTCCGATCGTTCGCGTACGAGGCAACACGTACCTTAGGGGCTGGCAGCACGTGCCGAAATAGCTCAGCTGGGAGAGCGTTAGACTGAAGATCTAAAGGTCCCTGGTTCGATCCTGGGTTTTGGCAGTGGTGTGGTTGCAGAGCAGATGCTGATGTTTTGATGGAAGTCAAATGCCCACTCACCTTGCAACAGCACTTTGCCATCAACCCTGGGGGGGGTAGCTCTTGACAACAGAACACAGCATTTGCAACAAGTGGGCAGTCAGTTAGCAATACTGCAGGGGCACCCCACCCATCCAGCCAGCCCAAAGATGCCCCCCCTCTCCCCCCATAGCCACAAATGGCTGCACTTCAAAACGTATCTTCATATAAATGTCAGAAACAGTGCAATATCTGACAAATGCTTCAACCTGACATGATGGCTTCTGTAATAGAAACAGAATGATCACACTGGTCAGTGCATACACACCGCAGCTGCAGCATGCACACCTCTTGTGATCACCTTAGCACTTGGGACTTTACCCCTCTCTAGGGTTATCTTTGCACTTTTTGTACTGTTCTTATGCACTTTGCCTTGTAAGTCGCTCTGGATAAGAGCGTCTAGCACTGTTTCAAAAGTTGCTGTGGCAACTGATTTAAGTGTAGCTGGCAAAAGGAGAGTCATTTCAAACTTCCCTCTTTAGAAAGGCAGTTTTATGATTGACAAGCAGCAGGACATGCCTTGGAATGAACTGTTGCGTTGTACTTGGGTTCAACATAAAGTGCCATGTGGACACCGTACCATGCTGTGAATATGAGAAAAGTATCAGAAACAAGGAGATGGATCTCTATAGCTCCTGTTCATTAGTTGTCCAATGATAAAAGGCACAATTGTGGAATACTTTTATTGAGTTAACACAGATTCAGAATATTTAGAGAAAATTCATTTCATACAAAAAGTTATAAAGCTTCACTATCTTGGTACATAATAATGCAATTGCAGTACAAAAAAAAGCAAGAAACCATTGTTGATTTGTTCTGGTGAGAAAGCTCAGCTTACTTACTGGCCATTTTTTAACTCCCTCCCCCCACCCCCCCAACCCATTTTACTTGCAACCACCCCTTCTTTGTAAACTACAGACTTCATTAAGACTCACTAGAACCATGACACATTGTGGATGTAAACAGAGGAATTGTGAGACTAAAGAATGGGCGATGGCTGCACCATTATCCTACAGCCTACATCATTCACATCTCTCATCTGGGGTAGTTTTGCTTTCTCTCAATTGTCCTTCATAGATTTAAGCTGGAATGTTCACTGAACTGTGAACACTTCATTCCTCTACTGACCAAAACACTAGCAGAGCCTCCCCACTGTTCTGTAGCTTGCTTACACCCCACCAGCTGTTTCTCCCTCCCCCACGCTCCACGCTGCTATGTGCGTACTGCATCCGGTTTGAGGAACAGTCTGCTGTGCCAGTAGTCGGGGTTGTCGAAGGAGTGATCACTCACCTCGGCCCCGCCTGTGTGCAGTTTCAGGTACCCCCCCACTCCCGAGCAGCGGACCCCTCCAGCTGCTACCTCCAAGTTCTCATACTCAGTGCGGTCTCCCCCATTAGGGGACACTGCAAGTGAGTCCATCTCCTCATACTCATACGCTTCCCCTTCCCTGGTTCCACCTCCCAGGCCCTGCTCCCTGACTCCCCTGCCTCTCAGCGTTGGCCTCAGCCTGGGCTGTTTGTTCATGTAGTGATAGTCTTCATCATCTTGCTGCTCGCTTCCATCCGCTTCAACTTCTTCCATTCTAGCCTCTCCCTCCCTCTCCATGGTAGCTGTTCCCATGGTTTCAGCATCTTTTTTGGAGGCGGTGCCTGTGGTCCTGTTCCTGCCGCTGCAGATGTCCATGTATTCATACTCCACAGCCTCTTGCTCTGGGCTCCTCCCTTGCCCTGCCTCATTTCCCACGTCTCTGCAGAGGACCTCCATCCTCCCTCCTTCATTGTCTGTCACCAAGACAGGACCGTTGCTGCTGCAGTCTGTTATAGGCAGTTTTCCTCCTGTGACACTCCTTTTGGGATGCTCAACACCGTTGAAATCTGTGCAGTCCTGCTGCCTTAGGTCCTCTGTCATCTCTATGTCTCCCCCTGCTGGAAACAGTTGGGTACTGCCCTTCAGGGTGGGCAGAGGAGAGACTGTCTGTTTGTTCACCCTGTGATTCTGAGCCCTCTCTTTGAGCAGGTCAGTGGAACGCCTGGGTGAGGCCGGCAGTGTACATGTCTGTTTGTTCATGTACTCATAGTCCATATTCTCTCCATCTAATCCTGGTGAAGAAGATGGAAAACTGGAACCCCTAACGTGAGAGGCTGGAGGCATCAGCAGACTCTCTGAAATTAAGGGGAAGAAAAAGAAAATCAAAGGGTTTGAAAGTTCAGGTTTTCTAAACTGCATTCCGTTTCTATAAACTCAACTCCACATGAAACGGACGTTTTGTTTTCTACTTCAGTACCCTATTCTATATGCTTAACTCTAGATTTTAGAGCAGTTTACAGAATAGATAAATACATTTATATATACGTATCTTAAAACTGTACCTGAATAGACTTCAGCTTCAGTATGTTAAATCATGAAATCAAAAATAAATACAAGGAATTGTATGTAACATAAGTACCCTATCAAAAGGATTGGGACACCCCTACAATTGCAGATGAAATTCATTTTGAGGAATATATGCAAATTAGTTTCCCTTTAAAAAGGAATGGTTGGATAATTGGAGGGTATTCCACACTAAGACAGTGAACAATGCTGCGACGTAATGAGTTACTACTTACACATACACAATTTTAGGAATGAAAAATGTAATAAAACAGATTAACTAAATTTTCGGCCATCTAGGTGTTAT